TTCATTTATTTCAGTAATGCAACTTAAAAGGTGAAACTAATATACGAGATAGACTCATTACATGCAAATCAAGATAGTTCAAGCTGTGATTTGTCCTAATTGTGATGATTATGGCTTACATCTCATGAAAACCCCAAATCCACAATCTCAGAAAATTAGAATATTGTGAAAAGGTGCAATATTCTAGGCTCAACGTGCCCCACTCTAATCAGCTAATTAAGCCATAACACCTGCAAAGGGTTCCTGAGCCTTTAAATGGTCTCTCAGTCTGGTTCAGTAGGAATCACAATCATGGGAAGGACTGCTGAACTGACAGTTGTGCAGAAAACCATCACTGACACCCTCCATAAGGAGGGAAGCCTCAAAAGGTAATTGCAAAAGAAGTTGGATGTTCCCAAAGTGCTGTATCAAAGCACATTAATAGAAAGTTATGTGGAAGGGAAAAGTGTGGAAGAAAAAGGTCCACAAGCAGCAGGGATGACTGCAGCTAGAGAGAATTGTCAGGAAAAGGCCATTCAAAAGAATTGGGGACTTTCACAAGGAGTGGACTGAGGCTGGAGTTAGTGCATCAAGAGCCACCACACACAGACGGATCCTGGACATGGGCTTCAAATGTCGTATTCCTCTTGTCAAGCCGCTCCTGAACAAGAAACAACGTCAGAAGCGTCTTACCTGGGCTAAAGAAAAACAGACCTGGTCTGTTGCTCAGTGGTCCAAAGTCCTCTTTTCTGATGAGAGAAACTTTTGCATCTCATTTGGAAACCAAGGACCCAGAGTATGGAGGAAGAATGGAGAGGCACACACTGCAAGATGTTGATTTTGGGAGCCATGTCATCTGCTAGTGTTGGTCCACTGTGCTTCATTAAGTCCAGGGTCAATGCAGCCGTCTACGAGGAGATTTTGGAGCACTTCATGCTTCCTTCCGCAGACAAGCTTTATGGGGATGCTGACTTCATTTTCCAGCAGGACTTGGCACCTGCCCACACTGCCAAAAGCACCAAAACCTGGTTCAATGACCGTGGGATTACTGTGCTTGATTGGCCAGCAAACTCGCCTGACCTGAACCCCATAGAGAATCTATGGGGCATTGCCAAGAGAAAGATGAGAGACATGAGAACGAACAATGCAGAAGAGCTGAAGGCCGCTATTGAAGCATCCTGGTTTTCCATAACACCCCAGCAGTGCCACAGGCTGATAGCTTCCATGCCACACCACATTGAGGTAGTAATTGCTGCAAAAGGTGCCGAAACCAAGTACTGAGTACATATGCATGCTTATACTTTTCAGGGGTCCAATATTGTTCTATGTACAATCCTTGTTTTATTGATTGCATGTAATATTCTAATTTTCTGAGATTGTGGATTTGGGGTTTTCATGAGCTGTAAGCCATAATCATCACAATGATGACAAATCACGGCTTGAACTATCTTGCTTTGCATGTAATGAGTCTATCTCATATATTAGTTTCACCTTTTAAATTGCTTTACTGAAATAAATGAACTTTTGCACGATATTCTATTTTTTCGAGTTTCACCTGTATTTAGCATGGTGCATCAGCTCCATTTGAGTACCGGGAAAACACTTTGCATGCCTTTTATCATGATGAAAAAAGGCTCTGGACAGCATCTGGAAATGGAAGAGTTAAAACTATTTTCCAAACGCAAATGCTTATAAACACGGTTAGCCACGTTTACAAGCGTTTGGCACGCTGATAAAATCTACTCCTGAATGCAAGTTTGGTGCGTTCAAAAAAACTACTGTAAACTCCACTGCCTGTAAACGACTGTAAACGGCATAGTGTACATGGACACATAGGAAAACATTAGTGAGAGTTCAGGGGCTGCTGAAAAAACGCAGAAAAGCTCCTGAACGTGAGTTTATCAGCTGAAGTGTACAAGGAGCCTTACTTAGCAACTATACATTGTAGGTAAACCCTTACGATGAATTCCCCCTGCTTGCTCTCTTTTGGGCTGTTAAATATACCATTTAAAGTGTTTTTTTCTGGGTTTCATAAGTGCAAAAAAAATACCTGATGATTCTTCCCATAATCTAGTGAGCTGATAACTTCCAGCAAACTCTCCCCATGCTGTAATAAAGGCAAAAGAAAATTGTGCGCTGCCAAATAATGAAAATAATAATAGATGAGCTGCTGCAAACACGTGTTATGTGTGTAAACATAAAAAAAACACACTAAACCAAATGAAGGTGTTGCGCTGCTAGCATAAATCAATACATGTAAATATACGAAACAAAAAGTGACTGATAGTCCCAAAAAGATGATGAAACAAAAAATAAATACAATTCTTCAAAAAAATCCAAATAAGTGAAAAATCTTCCTGTTGATGATTGCACCCAAAATCTCAGTGCTGTAAATCTTCAATACATGTGAATCACCACAGTGAACATAGACTTCCAGGTGGACTCTCACCTTCTAGCATGGACCTGTATGTGGACACAGGTCAAACAAAGCATTTCCCCCATTAGTGGGGGTAACACATAACTTGCTCCTCTGTGCACTCTTTCCCTTATGAATCACCACTGGACCTTCACAAATGGCACCCGATTTCAGTACAGCAGTATCTGTGGATAAAGCTCGACAACCACAAAGTAGACCATCTCCCCATGCTGTACTCTTATCAGATAGCACTGTTCCCAGCAATGTCTGTGAACCACAGAATACCTCCTGGCCAGGGGCGGACTGACAACTCATGGGGCACCCGGGCAATAGGGGATCATGGGGCCCCTGTGTCCTTGCCCAAACTCAAAAAAGCCTATGAAAAAAGTTACCAGCGGCATCTCATGGGGCCCCCTACTGACCCCGGGCCCTCATGCAGTGCCCAAGTTTCCAAATGGTCTGTCCACCCCTGCTCCTGGCCACAGGTTAGAGGTAAGTGTTAAGATCCATATAGCCGGCAATACACTAGCAAATGTTCGAACAAACGTACATGTGAACATTGGTACAAACATTGGTACGAAAATCCTTTGCACATTCGATGACTGGACAAATGTTCCTTGAAAGTACTTAAAAATGTTATTTGCTTTTAACATTCAATTTTGAAATGAATGTAAGTTGCTGAATAAAAACCACAGAAATGTTAGAAATTAATTTGTTTGAGAAAAATTTTTTATCCTGCTCCTTCGAATTTTCTCATCAATGTGGTTGAAAATGAATGCTGATTTGACCCCATTAACTATGAGAAAATTCAGTAAATATTCTGAAAATGAAACATTTTGAACAAACTTCTTCAATGAGGATCTGCACATGAAATACACAAGGAGTAACAGAAGGTACACAAGAGAGCAAATCTTAGTGATAAACTGTCCTTAGTAAGAAAGCTATACCAAACTAAGCTGATGAAAGACCAGCACACACAGGATTATAAAGGATGTACTGTGCAAATGGTGGAAGAGCTGTGAGCTATAGGAGAAGAAATCAAAGAGGAGTCAAAGAGAATCTGCACAAAAAAATAGTAATACGCAGCATGAAACACATGGATAGTTTGTGTGCAAAGACACTTGCACATGGGGCTGTTAGTGATTACGAGCTGGGACCAAAGTGGGCTCTCTCTACGATTAGCTGTAAATGGCAGCCCCACTGAAAGGAATGGGAGGTTGACAGCTCTTGCAGCTAATCACAGCCACCCTCATGTAATCACTTAAGCAGAGATTACTTGCAAATGTTTGGCCCTGGATGCATCCAGGGCCAGTCATTCACAACTAATCGTTCCATTAATGATTATATGCGAGCTGTCTTTTCAATGGGTCTTCCGCCTGCAGCTAATCGCCAGGAACCCTTGGTAATTGCTAATGTCCCCATTCACACTTGTACAAGGCAACCTGCAAAATTTACAAAAATAGAATGAAACAGCAAAAGAAACAAGTAAAATAGGTGCTCCAGTCACCTAAAAATTAACCTCCCTAGTGGTATTCCCAAGTGTAGCTCAGGGTAGAATTTCAGTACCAAAAGCAGTATCCCTGAGCTACACTCAGGCTTACCATGCGGTGTTGCTCAGGGATTCCCTGCAGCACTTACCTTGTCCTTCGCTCCCGCGATGCGTCCCCTGCAGCCTCCCCGGCCATCTCCTCCGGCCGATTCCGGCATCCGGCTTCCATATTCCGGTCCCTGTGACGTCGGGACGTACGGGCGCCGGAAATAATCATTTTTTTTAAAAATGAGTATTTATTTATTTTTATGAGTATTTATTAAATTATAATTTATGATTTTGTGTTTCAAGTTTTATCATATCCGGAATGTTTACTAGACTCTTGTTCGGACAGATTTCAGTGAGTTATTCCAAAATTACAGGCCTACAATAAAAAAAATACATATTTCCATGCAAAAAATGGTACCGCTTTCAGCACCAAAAATCTGAAATAATCATACCACTAGGGAGGTTAAAAGTCAGCAGCAGGATTTGTAGCTGCTGACTTTTAATGACACTTACCTGTCAGGGATCAACTTCGGGTCCAGGCCCTGGCATCTTAACAAAGGCTTGAGACTTCACAGCCGGTTTCCTACTGTGCATGAGCGAGCCATGCAACACTTTGTGAATGGTCCCACAGTCTTCTGGAACTTGTGATGTGTCCCAGAAGGCTGTGGGGGAAGACAGGGGGCCAAAAAATTAGGCGATCCGACTGGAAGTGGGAGTGGGTACCTGTCTCCCCCCCCCCCAAAACAAAATAATGGCAATTAGTAAAGAGGAAGGGGGAGAATGCAAACAAGCAGAACTTTCCCCTTTGGGTGCAGTTCCGCTTAACTTGTTGCCGACCGCAGATAGCCGAATGACGGCTGCACTGCGGCCGGCCAGTTCTGAGTGGACGTCATATGACGTCCCCCCAGAACGCGCTCTCCTGCGCGCCCCAGGGGGCGCGCACCCGGCGATCTCCGTGATCGCTGTGTCCTACGGACACAGCTGATCACGTGATGTGGTAAAAGGCCAATCACAGCGGCCTTTTACCACCTGATCAGCGGTGTCCAATGACACGCTGATCAGAGGGAAATGCAAGTGCCGGTTCTCGGCTGCACTTTCCTCACGCTGTCAGATCGTGAGGAAAGTACTGCTGAGAACCGGCAGTTGTCAGAGCGGGGATCGGCGCCGATCATCAGGGCACTGATGATCAGTGCCCTGATGATTGGTGCTCAGCAGTGCCACCCACAAGTTACGCCCACCTGTGCCCTGTAGTGCGCCCAATAGCTCCGCCCACCTGTGCCCAGCAGATCACCCACCTGTGCCCAGCAGTGCACCCACCTGTGCCCAGCAGTGCACCCACCTGTGCCACTCTGAAATTTCACACACCTGTGCCCAGAAGTGCCACCTACCTGTGCCCAGCAGTGCCACCCACCTGTGCCCACCCACCTGTGCCCACCAGTGCCACCCACCTGTGCCCACCCACCAGTGCTGCCCACCAGCACTATCCGTGACACCTCGTTAGTGCTGTCTATCAGTGCTGGCTATCCGTGCCACCTCATTAGTACTGCTTATCAGTGCCCTTTAGTGCCGCCTATCAGTGCCCATCAGTGCCGCCTATCAGTGCCCATCAGTGCTGCCTCATCAACGCACATCAGTGAAGGAGAAAAATTACCTGTTTGAAAAATTTTATAATAGAAACAAAGAAACTTTTTTTTTTTTTTTCAAATTTTTGGCAATTTTTTATTTATAGCGCAAAAAGTAAAGTGCCCAGTGGCGATTAAATACCACCAAAAGAAAGCTCTATTTGTGAGAAAAAAAATGATCAAAATTTCATATGGGTACAATGTTGCACGACCGCGCAATTGTCAATCAAAGTGCGGCAGCGCTGAAAGCTGAAAATTGGCCTGGTAAATAAGGGGGTATAAGTGCCTGGTAGGCAAGTGGTTAAACAATAATAGGCCAAAAGTGTTAAAGAAGAAATTTATGTTTCACATAATAAATGTGCCTTTCACTCCAAAGACCTGGTCATTTTTTTTTTGGCTGTAGTAAAGAACAAAAGAAAAGAGCACACCAACTTTGTGCATTACCTCAGTAAACAGTTCATGTATTTATTAATAAATTATACTCACAAGAGCATATAACATCCATAACCAACACACAGGGTTAAAAGACAAGTGCAAAACTGACAGAAACACTGACACATAGGGGTTTATTTACTAAAGCTGGAGAGTCCAAAATCAGACTCCCTTCTAGAAACCAATCAGCTTCTAACCTCAGCTTGTTCAATGAAGCTTTGGCAATGAAACCTGGAAGCTGATTGGTTTCTATGCAGAAGGGAGTCTGATTTTGGACTCTCCAGCTTTAGTAAATAAACCCCATAGTGACTGAATGCCTCCTATGAATAGGAACTGAATCTAAATAGAATATTTCTATCAGTAATCCAGGTACTCATTGTAGACCTTCTAAACTCTGAGGAAGAAGGTATCCCCCTTCGAAACACGTCAGCTTGATCAAGAGTTTATCTCCCTTCCAGATGGAACTCGCACGTGTATTTTAACCCTGTGTTGGTTATGGATCTTGTATGCCTTTTTTACGGCTACTCTCGAGAGTATAATTTATTAATAAATACATGAAATGTTTACTGAGGTAATGCGAAAGGTTGGTGCGCTCTTTTCTTTTGTTCTTTACTACAGTCTATATCAAGCTTCCCCAGCTTCGTGTTAGAGCTGCACAACTTTTGATCAGTATTGGATGAACATTACCATTTTATTGGATTAATCTTCCTCTGATCCGAGCCACTGAGTGCAGGAGGGGGTGGACGTGTGTTGATTTTTTTTTGGGTGCATTGACTTTGTAACCTACAAGTTGTCTTACCAATTATAAAAATGTCTTCATTAAACTTGATGCAAGCAAAAAAGAAAGAATTACAACAGCTAAGAGACACATAGTCTCAGATGGAACAGGGGAACTGTATCAGCTGAAGTGCCAGCAAAGTGGCTAACACAAATACATTTTATTTTTTTCTATCAGAATAGTAGAAATGTAGGGCACACGTTACACAGTAAAGGAGTGTTGAACAATTGTAAAGTCCAATTGCAGGCCCTGATGCAGCAATGGAGACCAGATATTACAAAAAGTTGAAGTGGATCATGAAGAACAAAGTATGTAGTAGTGAAAGTATGGGTGTGGTGTAAGAGTACACAGTTAAATATTACCTGAGCATCTGAACCTACGTGTAATCATTTAAACAGTTGTTGGAGAGTCTGCCATGAGAAGATGCTTTACTGTAAAACTGAACAAATGATGTCTGATTCAACAAATCAATAAAAACAGATTTTGATCAAGTGAGACAAAAATGGTATGGCTGAGTGATGAGAGACAGATAGTGAAAAAATATAGACCATAAAGGATCTATCGATGATGTTTTTCATGTCCCAAATTGTCATTTTAAGAAATGAAAGAAAATGCACCCTGCCACTGTTTTTACCACTGACCACTAAAAGCCTCTTGACTGGTTGTTGGCCCATGGTTATAATTTAAATTTGTATACATCATTTCTGCACAACTGCTGTCTTGTGCCACTCCATAATAGCATGTGAGTTCTCATTTTCTAGTAGTTGTACCAGATTTGATCAGAATTAAAATTGCTTTGTTTAATTGGCACAAGATGATTGCCATTATTTTTGCATTACAAAAGCAGTGAGTTTTTGTTGATTTTATTTCTTTACTTTATTCAAACTTGTGTATGTCATATATGTATGTTGCAATCAGGGGCGGACTAAAAACTCATGGGGCCCCCGGGCAATGGGATCATGTGGGCCCCTGTGTAGAATTTCAAACTCAAAAAAGCCTATGAAAAAGGTACCAGGGGCTTACTCATGGGTGCCCCCTAGGGACTTCCCTGGCAGTGCCCGAGTTTCCAAATGGTCAGTCCGCCCCTGATTGCAATCACACTTCAATAAAATAAAGTACATTTATTCATTGCATGCAAAAGTTGTGTTCATGTAAATATTTCTAGGGGGGGGGTCCACAGCTTTCATCAATTTCTTAAAGGGGCTCAAAAAGTGAGTATTTATTTTTTTTTATGAGCTTGCCAATCTTAGATTAAATTTTCTTATTTTTGGGCTTTCAAGTTTTATTTTTCACCTATCCGGAATGTTTACTAGATGCTTGTTCAACAGATTTCCTTCAAATGTAGTTATTCCAAAATTACAGACTAAAATTAAAAAAAAGAATGCTTTCAACGATGCAACTTTTAAAATATGTAAAACCTTTCCACAAAAAAATCTGTAATAATCATACCACTAGGGAGGTTAAAAGTCAGCAGCAGGATTTGTAGCTATCTGAATTTTAATGACACTTACCTGTCAGGGATCAACTTCTGTTTGTGGGTCCAGGCCCTGGCATCTTAACAAAGGCTTGAGACTTCACAGCCGTCTTTCCTACTGTGCATGAGCGAGCCATGCTACACTTTGTGAATGGTCCCTGGTACAGTCTTCTGGAACTTGTGATGTGTGGCCCAGAAGGCTGTGGGGGCTAAGACAGGGGGCCAAAAAATTAGGCGATCCGACTGGAAGTGGGAGTGGGTACCTGTCTCCCCCCCCCCCCCAAAACAAAATAATGGCAATTAGTAAAGAGGAAGGGGAGGGAGAATGCAAACAAGCAGAACTTTCCCCTTTGGGTGCAGTTTCCGCTTAACTTGTTGCCGGACCGCAGATAGCCGAATGACGGCTGCACTGCGGCGGCCAGTTCTGAGTGGACGTCATATGACGTCCCCCCAGAACGCGCTCTCCTGCGCGCCCCAGGGGGCGCGCACCCGGCGATCTCCGTGATCGCTGTGTCCTACGGACACAGCTTGATCACGTTGATTGTGGTATAAAGGCCAATCACAGCGGCCTTTTACCACCTGATCAAGCGGTGTCCAATGACACGCTGATCAGAGGGAAATGCAAGTGCCGGTTCTCGGCTGCACTTTCCTCACGCTGTCAGATCGTGAGGAAAGTACTGCTGAGAACCGGCAGTTGTCAGAGCGGGGATCGGCGCCGATCATCAGGGCACTGATGATCAGTGCCCTGATGATTGGTGCTCAGCAGTGCCACCCACAAGTTACGCGCCACCTGTGCCCTGTAGTGCGCCCAATAGCTCCGCCCCACCTGTGCCCAGCAGATCACCCACCTGTGCCCAGCAGTGCACCCACCTGTGCCCAGCAGTGCACCCACCTGTGCCACTCTGAAATTTCACAACACCTGTGCCCAGAAGTGCCACCTACCTGTGCCAGCAGTGCCACCCACCTGTGCCCACCCACCTGTGCCCACCAGTGCCACCCACAACCTGTGCCCACCACACCAGTGCTGCCCACCAGCACTATCCGTGACACCTCGTTAGTGCTGTCTATCAGTGCTGGCTATCCGTGCCACCTCATTAGTACTATGCTTATCAGTGCCCTTTAGTGCCGCCTATCAGTGCCCATCAGTGCCGCCTATCAGTGCCCATCAGTGCTGCCTCATCAACGCACATCAGTGAAGGAGAAAAATTACCTGTTTGAAAAATTTTATAATAGATAAAACAAAAACTTTTTTTTTTTTTTTTCAAATTTTTGGCAATTTTTTATTTATAGCGCAAAAAGTAAAGTGCCCAGTGGCGATTAAATACCACCAAAAGAAAGCTCTATTTGTGAGAAAAAAAATGATCAAAATTTCATATGGGTACAATGTTGGCACGACCGCGCAATTGTCAATCAAAGTGCGGCAGCGCTGAAAGCTGAAAATTGGCCTGGTAAATAAGGGGGTATAAGTGCCTGGTAGGCAAGTGGTTAAACAATAATAGGCCAAAAGTGTTAAGAAGAAATTTATGTTTCACATAATAAATGTGCCTTTCACATCCAAAGACCTGGTCATTTTTTTTTTGGCTGTAGTAAAGAACAAAATAAAAGAGCACACCAACTTTGTGCATTACCTCAGTAAACAGTTCATGTATTTATTCAATAAATTATACTCACAAGAGCATATAACATCCATAACCAACACAGGTTAAAAGACAAGTGCAAAACTGACAGAAACATGACACATAGGGGTTTATTTACTAAAGCTGGAGAGTCCAAAATCAGACTCCCTTCTAGAAACCAATCAGCTTCTAACCTCAAGCTGTTCAATGAAGCTTTGGCAATGAAACCTGGAAGCTGATTGGTTTCTATGCAGAAGGGAGTCTGATTTTGGACTCTCCAGCTTTAGTAAATAAACCCCATAGTGACTGAATGCCTCCTATGAATAGGAACTGAATCTAAATAGAATATTTCTATCAGTAATCCAGGTACTCATTGTAGACCTTCTAAACTCTGAGGAAGAAGGTATCCCCCTTCGAAACACGTCAGCTTGATCAAGAGTTTATCTCCCTTCCAGATGGAACTCGCACGTGTATTTTAACCTGTGTTGGTTATGGGATCTTGTATGCCTTTTTTACGGCTACTCTCGAGAGTATAATTTATTAATAAATACATGAAATGTTTACTGAGGTAATGCGAAAGGTTGGTGCGCTCTTTTCTTTTGTTCTTTACTACAGTCTATATCAAGCTTTCCCAGCTTCGTGTTAGAGCTGCACAACTTTTGATCAGTATTGGATGAACATTACCATTTTATTGGATATAATCTTCCTCTGATCCGAGCCACTGAGTGCAGGAGGGGGTGGACGTGTGTTGATTTTTTTTTGGGTGCATTGACTTTGTAAACCTACAAGTTGTCTTACCAATTATAAAAATGTCTTCATTAAACTTGATGCAAGCAAAAAAAGAAAGAATTACAACAGCTAAGAGACACATAGTCTCAGATGGAACAGGGGAACTGTATCAGCTGAAGTGCCAGCAAAGTGGCTAACACAAATACATTTTATTTTTTTCTATCAGAATAGTAGAAATGTAGGGCACAACGTTACACAGTAAAGGAGTGTTGAACAATTGTAAAGTCCAATTGCAAGGCCCTGATGCAGCAATGGAGACCAGATATTACAAAAAGTTGAAGTGGATCATGAAGAACAAAGTATGTAGTGAAAGTATGGGTGTGTGGTGTAAGAGTACAACAGTTACTATATTACCTGAGCATCTGAACCTACGGTGTAATCATTTAAAACAGTTGTTGGAGAGTCTGCCATGAGAAGATGCTTTACTGTAAAACTGAACAAATGATGTCTGATTCAACAAATCAATAAAAACAGATTTTTGATCAAGTGAGACAAAAATGGTATGGCTGAGTGATGAGAGACAGATAGTGAAAAAATATAGACCATAAAGGATCTATCGATGATGTTTTTCATGTCCCAAATGATGAAACACATGGATAGTTTGTGTGCAAAGACACTTGCACATGGGGCTGTTAGTGATTACAGAGCTGGGACCAAAGTGGGCTCTCTACGATTAGCTGTTAAATGGCAGCCCCACGGAAAGGAATGGGAGGTTGACAGCTCTTGCAGCTAATCACAGCCACCCTCATGTAATCACTTAAGCAGAGATTACTTGCAAATGTTTGGCCCTGGATGCATCCAGGGCCAGTCATTCACAACTAATCGTTCCATTAATGATTATATGCGAGCTGTCTTTTCAATGGGTCTTCCGCCTGCAGCTAATCGCCAGGAACCCTTGGTAATTGCTAATGTCCCCATTCACACTTGTACAAGGCAATCCCTGCAAAATTTACAAAAATAGAATGAAAACAGCAAAAGAAACAAGTAAAAATAGGTGCTCCAGATCACCTAAAAATTAACCTCCCTAGTGGTATTCCCAAGTGTAGCTCAGGGTAGAATTTCAGTACCAAAAGCAGTATCCCCTGAGCTACACTCAGGCTTACCATGCGGTGTTGCTCAGGGATTCCCTGCAGCACTTACTTGTCCTTCGCTCCCCGCGATGCGTCCCCTGCAGCCTCCCCGGCCATCTCCTCCGGCCGATTCCGGCATCCGGCTTCATAATTCCGTTCCTGTGACGTCGGGACGTACGGGCGCCGGAAATAATCATTTTTTTTAAAAAATGAGTATTTATTTATTTTTATGAGTATTTATTAAATTATAATTTATGATTTTGTGTTTCAAGTTTTATCATATCCGGAATGTTTACTAGGACTCTTGTTCGGACAGATTTTCAGTGAGTTATTCCAAAATTACAGGCCTACAATAAAAAAAATACATATTTCCATGCAAAAAATGGTACCGCTTTCAGCACCAAAAAATCTGTAAAATAATCATACCACTAGGGAGGTTAAAAGTCAGCAGCAGGATTTGTTAGCTGCTGACTTTTAATGACACTTACCTGTCAGGGATCAACTATCGGGTTTCCAGGCCCTGGCATCTTAACAAAGGCTTGAGACTTCACAGTCCGGTTTCCTACTGTGCATGAGCGAGCCATGCTACACAAATTTGTGAATGGTCCCACAGTCTTCTGGAACTTGTGATGTAGTCCCTGAAGGCTGTGGGGGAAGACAGGGGGCCAAAAAATTAGGCGATCCGACTGGAAGTGGGTGTGGGTACCTGTCTCCCCCCCCCCCAAAACAAAATAATGGCAATTAGTTAAAGAGGAAGGGGGGGAGAATGCAAACAAGCAGAACTTTCCCCTTTGGGTGCAGTTTCCGCTTAACTTGTTGCCGACCGCAGATAGCGAATGACGGCTGCACTGCGGCCGGCCAGTTCTGAGTGGACGTCACTATGACGTCCCCCCAGAACGCGCTCTCCTGCGCGCCCCAGGGGGCGCGCACCGGCGATCTCCGTGATCGCTGTGTCCTACGGACAAGCTGATCACGTGATGTGGTAAAAGGCCAATCACAGCGGCCTTTTACCACCTGATCAGCGGTGTCCAATCTACACGCTGATCAGAGGGAAATGCAAGTGCCGGTTCTCGGCTGCACTTCCTCACGCTGTCAGATCGTGAGGAAAGTACTGCTGAGAACCGGCAGTTGTCAGAGCGGGGATCGGCGCCGATCATCAGGGCACTGATGATCAGTGCCCTGATGATTGGTGACTCAGCAGTTGCCAACCCACAAGTTACGCCCACCTGTGCCCTGTAGTGCGCCCAATAGCTCCGCCCACTGTGCCCAGCAGATCAACCACCTGTGCCCAGCAGTGCCACCCACCTGTGCCCAGCAGTGCACCCACCTGTGCCACTCTGAAATTTCACACACCTGTGCCCAGAAGTGCCCTACCTGTGCCCAGCAGTGCCACCCACCTGTGCCCACCCACCTGTGCCCACCAGTGCCACCCACCTGTGCCCACCCACCAGTGCTGCCCACCAGCACTATCCCGTGACACCTCGTTAGTGCTGTCTATCACAGTGCTGGCTATCCGTGCCACCCTCATTAGTACTGTTATCAGTGCCCTTTAGTGCGCCTATCAGTGCCCATCAGTGCCGCCTATCAGTGCCCATCAGTGCTGCCTCATCAACGCCACATCAGTGAAGGAGAAAAATTACCTGTTTTGAAAAATTTTATAATAGAAACAAAAGAAACACTTTTTTTTTTTTTTCAAATTTTTGGCAATTTTTTATTTTAGCGCAAAAAGTAAAGTGCCCAGTGGCGATTAAATACCACCAAAAGAAAAGCTCTATTTGTGAGAAAAAAAATGATCAAAATTTTTATGGGTACAATGTTGCACGACCCGCGCAATTGTCAATCAAAGTGCGGCAGCGCTGAAAGCTGAAATTGGCCTGGTAAATAAGGGGGTATAAGTGCCTGGTAGGCCAAGGCAAGTGGTTAACAATAATAGGCCAAAAGTGTTAAAGAAGAAATTTATGTTTCACATAATTTAAATGTGCCTTTCACTCCAAAGACCTGGTCATTTTTTTTTTTGGCTGTAGTAAAGAACAAAAGAAAAGAGCACACCAACTTTGTGCATTACCTCAGTAAACAGTTCATGTATTTATTAATAAATTATACTCGCCCACAAGAGCATATAACATCCATAACCAACACAGGGTTTAAAAGACAAGTGCAAAACTGACAGAAACACAGACACATAGGGGTTTATTTACTAAAGCTGGAGAGTCCAAAATCAGACTCCCTTCTAGAAACCATCAGCTTCTAACCTCAGCTTGTTCAATGAAGCTTTGGCAATGAAACCTGGAAGCTGATTGGTTTCTATGCAGAAGGGAGTCTGATTTTGGACTCTCCAGCTTTAGTAAATAAACCCCATAGTGACTGAATGCCTCCTATGAATAGGAACTGAATCTAAATAGAATATTTCTATCATAATCCAGGTACTCATTGTAGACCTTCTAAACTCGAGGAAGAAAGGTATCCCCCCTTCGAAACACGTCAGCTTGATCAAGAGTTTATCTCCCCTTCCAGATGGAACTCGCACGTGTATTTTAACCCTGTGTTGGTTATGGATCTTGTATGCCTTTTTTACGGCTACTCTCGAGAGTATAATTTATTAATAATACATGAAATGTTACTGAGGTAATGCGAAAAGTTGGTGCGCTCTTTTCTTTTGTTCTTTACTACAGTCTATTTCAAGCTTCCCCAGCTTCGTGTTAGAGCTGCACAACTTTTGATCATGTATTGGATGAACATTACCATTTTATTGGATTAATCTTCCTCTGATCCGAGCCACTGAGTGCAGGAGGGGTGTGGACGTGTGTTGATTTTTTTTGGGTGCATTGACTTTGTAACCTACAAGTTGTCTTACCAATCCTATAAAAATGTCTTCATTAAACTTGATTGCAAGCAAAAAAGAAAGAATTACAACAGCTAAGAGACACATAGTCTCAGAATGGAACAGGGGAACTGTATCAGCTGAAGTGCCAGCAAAGTGGCTAACACAAATACATTTTATTTTTTTCTATCAGAATAGTAGAAATGTAGGGGCACACGTTACACAGTAAAGGAGTGTTGAACATTAATTGGTAAAGTCAATTGCAGGCCCTGATGCAGCAATGGAGACCAGATATTACAAAAAGTTGAAGTGGATCATGAAGAACAAAGTATGTAGTGAAAGTATGGGTGTGGGTTGTAAGAGTACACAGTTAAATATTACCTGAGCATTTCTGAACCTACGTGTAATCATTTAAACAGTTGTTGGAGAAAGTCTGCCATGAGAAGATGCTTTACTGTAAAACTGAACAAATGATGTCTGATTCAACAAATCAATATAAAACGATTTTGATCAAGTGAGACAAAAATGGTATGGGCTGAGTGATGAGAGACTGATAGTGAAACAATATATAGACCATAAAGGATCTATCGATGATGTTTTTCATGTCCCAAATGATTCCCATGGACAACCACTTCTGATCACTTGGAGAACAGAAGCAGACTGTGCTTCAATCCAATTGACTTGACCAATCTACTGGATAACAACTGCTGTCTTGTGCCACTCCATAATAGCATGTGCTAGTTCTCATTTTCTAGTAGTTGTACCAGATTTGATCAGAATTAAAATTGCTTTGTTTAATTGGCACAAGATGATTGCCATTATTTTTTGCATGAAAAGCAGTGAGTTTTTTGTTGATTTTATTTCTTTACTTTATTCAAACTTGTGTATGTCATATATGTATGTTGCAATCAGGGGCGGACTAAAAACTCATGGGGCCCCCGGGCAATAGGGGATCATGGGGCCCCTGTGTCCTTGCCCAAACTCAAAAAAGCCTATGAAAAAGGTACCAGGGGCATCTCATGGGGCCCCCTACTGACTCTGGGCCCTCGGGCAGTGCCCGAGTTTCCAAATGGTCAGTCCGCCCCTGATTGCAATCACACTTCAATAAAATAAAGTACATTTATTCATTGCATGCAAAGTTGTGTTCATGTAAATATTTCTAGGGAGGGGGTCCACAGCTTTCATCAATTTCTTAAAGGGGCTCAAAAAGTGATATTAAAGCCAAAAACAAACATTTCTTATATTGCAGCTTGCCAATTCTTAGATGGGATGGCAGAATTAGTTTTCTTTTTTTGGGCTTTCTTTGTTTTATTTTCACCTGGTGATCTGGCCAATAAGTATATTGCTTTTCAACAAAACTCTCCTTCAAATGTATTAGTTAAGAGTGTTGAGACAAACCATTAACCAATGACAGAAGTGCTTACAACGATCAACTTTTATTGATTTATGTAAAACCTTTCCCAAAAAAACCTGCTGTAATTGATTGTGTAACTTTTGAGCTGGAGTTCAACTTCTGTGTGTTGGTGTATCTAAATTTGTGATTCTTACACTTCCCTCCCCCAGACTGACAATGCTGTTGTGCAAAGGTGCCTCTGTGCTCCTTCATCCAGAGTAGAGACATTATAATACAAGAGGTGTGCTACTGGCCAGATCATCAGGTGAAAACAGAGGTTAAAAAGACTAGAAAAACTGAATATAGCTAACACATCTAATGACTGGTAAACTACAAAATATTACATTTTTGTTTTTGGGCTTAATACTGCTTTACGAACCACTGCCCTAGAGTCTAGCTATAAATGTTGCCAATATTTCTGGGTAAGCAAAGAAAATTATGCTACTTTGTAACAGTGTTTTGCCTGTGAAATACCATGTACATTATAATTTACATTACAGTTTATGTGACATTTCTTTGGTAAATAAGTAAATCCCTCTTTACTCTGCCAAGGTCGGAAAATATTTTAAATGTGACATTTTAGCAAATGCTTTATTGTTGCCATTTGTCCTCCAAAGAGGTTTTACCAGCAAATACAGAGTGTAGGCTTTAAGTGGGAAAAAAGACACAGCAACTCTGTAGCAATTGTTTTGCGGTCAATGGGATGCTGTGCAGATTGTAATTTTGGTAAACACAAGAAGTCAGCAGTGGCCAAATAAAATAGTGTGTGTTGCTCAGCATGTTATTGGGTGCTAAGAACAAGACCTTGCTCAGGCATCCACACATATCTTACAGTGTGTTCTTAAAGGGAAATGATAGCATAGTTTTGTACTGTTACTGTATGTATATAGAGTGTGTGTGTGTATATGTACTGTGGGAACTCGCTTCTTAATGGTAGAGCTTCTTCAAAGCACACAGCAACTCGCTTCTTTTTAAGGGCCTTTATGCCCAATTTTATTTAAAGGAAAAAGTTCCATAAAGGCTTCCCGTGCAGGGGTATCCACCATCACTCTAATAAAACAATACTCAGCCTTCTGGCTCTCTCAGAGATACCGCTCTATGTCTGTCTCCTGCAGACTCCTTCCAAAAGGTTGTTTTTTGCACACAGCGAACCTCTAGCACACAGCTAGTCTGGCTTCCACCTCTCCTTGGAAGCCCACCTGACTCCAAGGCAGAGACCTCCCGTCTGCCAGGGTGGTGCCCTCCTGACTCCTGTCTGCCAGGGTGGAGCCCAGAACCATGGCCTGGCCTCCACAAAAAGGCCTGCACACACCTGTGCAATCAGCGCGCTGGCTGCTCTCAAAACATGGACCCAGGATTGGAGATTTCATCCCTCCCAAATCTCTTAGAAATCTCCAGGCTACAGGTCCCAAAACAGGCTTTACAAACCAAAGAGGAAACTGATAAACCAGTTTCCTCTGCATTATGAGAACTGCCTGGAGCCCCTCAACCTGTATGGTTGAGAATCCTGGGTCACCACCGTGATATCCACCGTGGCAGGATACCGCACTGCCACAGTATCTAAACCCACAAACAAAAATGTTATATAGTGCAGTTTAACGATCCTTAAATGTGGCATCTATATTAGTTTTCTTTTTGAAGGCTTTTTCCCTTATTTCCACCTGTTGATCCAGCCAGTGACACACTTCCTGACTTAGAGTGGCTCTACTCTATGGAGTAGCAATGGAGCCACTCTTGGATGACAGCATTGTCAAACTGTGGAGAGGGTAGTTTTGAATGCACTAGTACCTTTAGAATCTGACTAACAAATTAATCTGGTTCTAAAATCAGGTCTAAGGTGAAAAAAATATCCCTATTACTTGTCCCCCCAACACTCCCTTTCCCCCAACTTATCCCTGAACACTTACCTGCCTCCTCTCATGATCCAGTGCTGCAGCACCACTCTCCCCTCTTCCTGGTCTCACAGGAGACACAGGCAACAGCGGGAGCCATAAGCCTATGCTGTTGTCAGTCAAACTCCTGTGAGGAGTGAGAGGGGTTAGGACTTACTGGCACTGTGTATATCTATGGATGCACATGGCCCAGAATGAAAAAAGCCTATGAAAAAGGTTCCAGGGGTATCTCATGGGGCCCCCTACTGACCCCGGCCCTCGGGCAGTTTCCAAATGGTCAGTCCGCCCCTGGTTCTAATCCACCTCCACTCTATTCAAAACTAAAACAAAGTTTTCCTTTAGTTGCACTTTAAATAAGTTTGTGTCATGAGCATGTAGCACTCCTGCTCCATCACAGATGCTGGTCTCATTCCAGCATCCTGATTTTGGTTGTGATATATTCTCACTGTTTGCCTGTCCACCAGCAAGGTGATTGATGTGGAAAGTATCTGGGTGGAGACCAAACCTGATTTAAACCA